TTTTTCCTAACTGAAGCAAACATTTTTCAGATGTTTATTTTTTCCCTGAAAATTTTTTTCTATATATTTACATTCCATAACCAAAATATAATATAAAGACAAAACAATTTCATGGTTGCCCTATCTCAAGACTATTTGAAAAACATTGCCTGACACATGAGGTGCTAAGTTCCAGGAGTATGGGGTTCCACATCTGTTCTTTTACTGATGTCGTCTTAAGTGCTGGGCTTAGAACAGGAGCTCAGTAAACCACTTTTGAGTGACAGAAGCTGACAGGCTGATCTAGATATTTAGTCCCCGCCCCCTTCGTTTTAAATTGGGGGTGGTTGTGGCAAGTTTTCCCTTGAAGAATCCAAATTGTTGTTTTGACTCTTCAATTTAGTAATATTACCCAGAGCTTAATGTGTTCATTACAGGCCTAAATTTTTTTCAGGAATTGACTTCTAGAGGCAGTAATACTGTTGATAAACAAAATGAAATAGATTATTTTGCTTCAGGACTTTCCAGAGCCATTCATGTTAATGTGCATTGAAAATTCCTAATAAGCATTTCTCAAACATACATGACCCTGCAACCCCCCCCCTTTTCATGGAACATTTGGGTTCTGTGAACTTTGAGAAAAGCTACCCTATGTTATATTTCACTTTCCCCATCTCTAAGGAAGGCCCACAATTATCTGCCTCTAGAGCTTGTTTATTTGTGAAATATAATCAAGATGTGTGTTTGAAAATCATTCCATATATTGTTTTAAAATATCAGTCATAAATAACTTGTAAAAAGGTTCAGATGAAGAAAACTCTTTGGCGATTAGGGCGTAAAATGTTGCTTTACCTTCTGAAACTCCACTTCTCAGGAAGTTACAACATATGTCTTCATTTATGTATTTTTTTCTCTATTCCAGATTAGTGCGTTGACTTTCTGAGCCATGTGCATTTAGTATCTCAATATCCATATATCACATTCAACCATATCAGGACTTGATATGGACTTCCATAGTCCTCCTTACATATATAAGGTTTTAGTCATTTATCTTAGTGTTAGTGATTTTTAAAAAGGAAAATGATAAAATTCCTTCCCTCTAAATTCTTTGGACTGACACAGTTGAAAAGTAGTAGACATGCCAGCCATTATGTTTGCTTTTTATTTTCATGTTTACATTTCCTCAGTCCTTCTCTGGTTTGGCATTTTGAATATCTTCTTGGGCACAACCCAAAACTGTCTGATATAGCTGTATTTTTTGTATCAGTTTTCCTTTGAATCCTAATGATATTCTCCTACCTACTTTTCTCTGTGCTCATGATGTGAGGTATGAGCTCTGTTGCCCTTGAAATTGACTTTCTACATAAGAACAGAAATATAGGCTGGGCACAGTTGTTCACACTTGTAATCCCAGCACTTTGGGAGGCTGAGGTGGGTGGATCACTTGAGGTCAGGAGTTCGAGACTAGCCTGCATGGTGAAACCCCATCACTACTAAAAATACAAAAATTCGTTTTACGTGGTGGCACAGGCTGGTAATCCCAGCTACTTGGGAGGCTGAGGCATGAAAATTGCTTGAACCTGGGAGGTGGAGGTTGCAGTGAGCTGAGATCACACCACTGCACTCCAGCTTGGGCAACAGAGCCAGGGAACAAAGACGTTTGTGAGAAAAAAGAAGGGTGTTGCTTAATTTGAGAAAACTAGTAAAAGTAAAAATAATTTCAAAATATGTTTGGTGAAATTTTAACTTAAGATGTCAAGAAACTTTGCTATGTTAAGAAACTTTCTATCTCAATCCAGTTCTGATTTTTCTTTAGTAGTATGTAATTCTTGAGTCCAGTGAAAAGTTGCATCTAAGCCATTTAGAAATTGTCAGTTGTAGTCCTTGCTCACTAAAGCCTCAGGAGTTTACTTTCTCGGTAAAACTCAGAAAACTGAGGCTTGCGAGGAAGCAGAGTCGTCTCCTCTTGCCTCCATGATTGGGCATTGGAATTCCACCAAGTGTTACGAAAAAATTCAGGTCTAAGATGTGAAGATGTCAAAGTGTATTGTGCCACACACACATACCCACCTACACATATATTTATATAGGTATATATATGTATACATACATACACATTTTATGGTCACTTAGATTTGAGTTGAAAATCCATCGAAATTTTATATAGGAAGAGCTGGGATATTAGCCCTTACCTTCACACTTACTTTACAGTTCAGTTCTTCTAAAGATTGTACTTAGCTATTTGTAAATGCTTAAATATTGCACTTGGGTATTTGTAAATCTCATCAACAACCAATTTGTATCTCAATAGAGCGAAAAAATCTATATCATATTGATTAGAGTTTTAATTGAAATAACTTTTTGTATGTTTTAAGGTGAAAATATAATCTTAAGGCTTCCATGGGAATGAACACAAATGTTAATAGTGGGTATATATGAGTGGCGGGATTATGAATAATCATAATTATCTATATAGCTTTTCAATTGTTGTTTAATGAGTTTTGATTTTATAGCCTGAAACATGTTGATTCAAAATGACTCTTAGTTATTTGGAAAGTCTCTTCTGAACTTCTAGAAGTTCTTTTTCCGTAGCACTTCCATTATTGCCTTTCTTTTCTTTCTTTCTTTCTTTCTTTCTTTTTTTTTTTCTTTTTGAGACAGAGTTTCGCTCTTATTGCCCAGGCTGGAGTGCAATGGCATGACCTCGGTTCACCCTCCGCCTCCTGGGTTCAAGTGATTCTTCTGCCTCAGCCTTGTGGCTGAGATTACAGCTATGCACAACCATGCCCGGATAATTTTGTATTTTTAGTAGAGATGGGGTTTCTCCATGTTGGTTGGTCAGGTTGGTCTTGAACTCCCTACCTCAGGTGATCCACTCACCTCAGCCTGCCAAAGTGCTGGGATTACAGTCGTGAGCCATTGCACCAGGCTGCTTTTCTTTTTATCTATGGAGTTCTTACAGCTCAGGACTTAAGTAAGTCGCTAAGTATCACTCCCCATGTTTGTAAGCTTGACTGTCTTAGCACAGTACTATAGACTGGGTGGCTTCAATAATGGAGATTTGTTTTTCTCACAGTTTTGGAGGTTAGAACGCCGAGATTAGGGTGCCAGCATGATAAGGCTCTGGTGAGGGCTCTCTTCCTGGCTTGTAGATAGCTGCCTTCTCCCCGTGTCCTTTCTTGGTAGAGGGAGAGTGAGCAGCTTCCTGGTGTCTCTTCTTATAAGGGCTCTAATCCCATCATTAGGGCCCTACTCTCCTAGCCTCATCTAATCCTGATTACCCACCAAAGGCGCCATCTCCAAATACCATTACATTGAAGGTTAGAGCTTCAACATATATATTTTTGGGGGACTCAACATTCAGTCCATAACACTTTTTAAAATTTAAACTGGTAGTATAGAAGATTTCCATAAATGGCATCTAAATAGAAAAATACTGGCAGAATATACAAGAAAGCATTAATGGTAGTTATTTCTAGACAGTAGGATTAGAGGTTTTCTCCATTTTCTGTGAATTCAGAGTATATTGCTTTTATAACAGAAAAAATACAATAGGTATTATTTTTAAAAGAAAATGAAATACTACAGAATGTTCCATTTCCTAATAATCTTGGAATTTTCAAAATCTTTTTATTTCATCTTCTTGAAATTTTTCTGAGAATTAATAAAAGTGTCTGCAGAACATAGAGCACTCAGTTCTTGGCACATAATAGAGTTGCATAAATTTACTGGTCCTCCTTTTCCTCCTTTTAACATGATGACAATGTTAATGATAATAACAATGATAATTACTATATTGCCATAGGAGATATACCATTGGGCATATATTATAGGCAAATAAAGTAGACAATAGCCACAAAGTCAGGGCAGACACATTTGTTGCGAGGTTTTTAAAAATGAGTTACTTATAAATAGAATAGCCTATTCATTGTCTTTACTTTTGGAATTCTTAGTCTTTTTGATTCTGAGAAAATGAATTGGTTAAAAAAGTTGGTAGATTGTTCTGAATTAGCATTCAGTTACAAATTAATATGAGCTCCTTAACTCTGTGCAATAAAATGGCATGCAGATGTGACACTGAGAAAACTTGAAGTCAGTTTTTGATGTGTCAAACTTTCATTCTAAAAACTGATTGAAACCTAATACTTACTGTTATGGAAAATTTTTTTGTCATTTCTTTTTTGTTTTGGTTCCTCTATAACAGCTCTCTCTTCTCTACTTTCTAATGCATTGTTTCTAGTGCTCTATCTTGTGTATGGAGTCTGTCATTGGTAACTTTTTCCCAATTAATTCCACATCTGAGTGTAATATTTCTAGTTGTTGGCTCCATAAATCAATAGGTTGAAGTGCCCTGCAAGGTAGTCATGTTTTTTGTCACGTAGGGACCTGACTGCTCGCCAAATAAATTATGACATTATGATGTACTATTTCCAATCACTATAAATTTTCAATATTTAGTGTATCAGTCATACCAAGTCAAGATCCAGTTATTTAGTTTCACTTACATCTGTATTTTAGATGAGAATCCTTTTTCCCATTAGTAGATTTGAATTTCTTTCTCTCTCAGAGTCAAATTCCAAACATGCCTTATAAAACCAGTCATAAAATATACGCATAAACTAACTGTTTTTGTGTTTATAAGTAGATTCAAAAACATACAGTGGTAAAACTATATCCCAAATTAAAATCTGTCCACTTAAATGGTGTTCTGTTTTGTTTTTTAACACTTAGATTACTTTTATCACTGTTGCTTTTGTAATTTGATTCCCAGATATTAGACAAACATATCTAGGTAATTCTCTGTATTGTATTGAAACATGGTCTTGATTGGGAGCTTAAACTATCATCTCACAAATGATCCTCAGCTGTGAAAAGAATCAATTGTTCTGAATTTGGGGCTATCTACACCATGGTTAATATGTAACACCACTACCAAAATTACTTTCTTAAATTCTGTTTTGATGATCTTAAAAATAATTTGTATTCTTTATTTTTATTTTTCTTTTCTTCTTTACCAACAGGACACAAAAATCGCTTCATTGGAGCGAAACATAAGGGATCTTGAGGATGAGATCCAGATGTTAAAAGCCAATGGTGTGCTGAACACTGAGGACCGCGAAGAAGAGATCAAACAAATTGAGGTTTACAAAAGTCACTCCAAGTTTATGAAGACCAAGGTACGGTCCAGGGTTATAAACTTTTATGTTCTTAGTGTGACTAGAAAGTTACAGTTTACATATGTACTTTTTCCAAATACCCATATAATATGCTTTATGTGATATTATTTAATATATGGACAACAAAGGAGAATGCAGAAGATTTTTAGTTCAGACATATAGATTCCAAAAAGCAATCACGGAAAACCTTTGGTGGAATTTCTCCTTACTGAGAGGTTCAGGCTTTAATTAGGAGTTCCTTTGGTGTTCCTCTTCCTTGGGAATTAACATATTTATAGTCCACTCTCTTCCAAATTTCCACCATCACTTAAGTTTGCTATTTTTTTGAAGTTGCTATCGTTGCCAAATTTCTTGCCTCTCCTAGAAGGTGTTTGTCTCAAAATATTTGCTATTACAAGCCAATTTAACTCATTTAAATGTTATTAGGTTGGGAGGCTGAGGCAGGCAGATCAGCTGAGGTCAGGAGTTTGAGACCAGCCTGTCTAACGTGGTGAAACCCTGTCTCTACAAAAAAATACAAAAATTAGCCAGGCATGGTGGCATGCACCTGTAATCCCAGCTACTCGGGAGGCTGAGGCAGGAGAATCACTTGAACCCGGGAGGTAGAGGTTGCAGTGAGCTGAGATGGTACCACTGCACTCCAGCCTGGGTGACAGAACAAGACTACATCTCAAAAGAAAAAAAAAAAAGTTATTAAGCTATTGTGGTTTTAGCATAGTGTTTAAGACATAAATAGTTTTGAGTCCCAGTGCTGCCCTTTAGTTAAATTATTAAAATTCCCTAAGCCTCAGTTTCTTTATCCATGAAATAGGGATAAGAAAAATACCTACATCATTGGGTTGGTCTGATGATTCCAGGAGATTATTCATTTAAAGCCCCTAGTCCCTTGTCTGATCTCTAGAAAGTATCCATCAAATGTCAGGCATTGTTGTTGATAGTAGTATTAATGTTACTAATAATGTTATAATAGTAACATTAATATGGACTAATAGATTCCATATCTATTGCTATGGAATCTTTATAAAATATTTTAGAGTAACCTGCTCCATTAGTTTATATTGTTATTGTCAGTTTTAAAGATTTTGGATTGTATTTTTTCAAAAATAAACTTGGGGCTTTAAAAGGACCAAGCACCTGAATATTTATTATTTTTACATATGCATAATTATTAAATTTATGAATAGCCCAAATAGGTCTTTTGAGACTGTGAGATGCTTTTATCTATTCCTCTGTTTAAATCATTTTGCTTCTGAAAATAATAACTACACCAATTAAAAATTTTTTGTTCTTTTTTCTTTTTCTACCACTTGCTCTTAAATATGCCTGTTCTCTTGTTCTAGGTTTTAATCTTGTTTGTTACTTTATGAAATGCAGTAGAGTTGGAGTAGTGCAGACCTCTGTGAGAAAGCAGTGGGAGAGGAGAGAAAAATGTTTAAATGATTTTTATCAGTTGTGAAATATGTGCATACTCCTTGCTGAGTTTGCAAATTATAGGGAGGAAATGATATCTATCTAGCATTTACTTCATCACAACGTGTGTGTGTGTGTGTGTGTGTATGCATGCATGTATACACAAGGAAAAAACACAAAACTATTCTTCTGTTAACTTTCCATCTCTAACTAGATGTTGAGATTGTGCTGAAAACATGTATCAAGGAGTGGAGATGAGGGATTTGAATCATCTCCACTGGATTTGAATGTAACCAGGGACTGCCTCAAAGTTTCGAATAGGTTTCCCTGCTCAGTCCTTCCTCTGGTTTCTTCCTTGCAGTCCCTCCCTCTCAGAGAGTTAAGCCAAGGTTCGGTGAGCACAGTACTAGGGTGACCTGCATACAGTGCCTGAATCATTCTGGGAATGAAGACCAGAGGCACAGATACGAGCGAACTCAAGAAGTTTGGGGGAAATTATTGTTTTGGCTTAAACTTTTCCCCCGACTCTGTTATTCCACAATGGGAGATTGTTCAAGCCACTTCTACAACTGAAAATGTCATGAAATTTGTAAACTCTGCCCCTCATCATGGACTCTGTCCAGGTGAATAAAACATTTATATGATCTTCAGCAAGTCATGACCTTTATTAGCCCACATTTGTCTGAGAGACCATCAATCCTTGAGTTAGATTTAACTTTTAATGGCTAGTTACTTTTAATGGTTCCAGAAGTGGTCAGGTCAGAAGAATGTTTGAGGGAAGTAGTGGAGTGAGGTGGAAAGACCACAGGCTGAAGATGAAAGCAGACTCCAGCAAGTCTCCAGCCTGCCTTTGCCAGCTGCATAGGGAGTGACTTGAGGAGTGACCAAAGTCAGTCGACCACACTGTCTTCTATAAAATAGGGGCGACAGCATCAGCCTTACAGGATGGTTCAGATGGACTAAATAATATTAAAATGGAATAATGTAGTTAAAGTACCTGGCTCAAAAAACCAGCTAATAATGATAAATATTATTATTGAAGAAGTATAACCAAATAATAATCATTACAATAAGTGTTATATTTAACTTGACTAATGGGAAAAATGGATTTCTAAGAAATACAAATAAAATGAATTCTTACATCATGCGGATACCTCTTTTACTGTTAAAAATTAGCTAGAAAGTACTAGTAAGGGTCAATTTTTAATATTTTCTCCATTGAAAGAATGTTCTTATTGGATTGAACTATAACATTTATTGCTAATGTTTCCTATCATTAATTACTTACTTTTCTTAATTCCCCTACTTGGTTTTTTTGTTTGTTTGTTTGTTTTGAGACAGGGTCTCACTCTATCACCCAGGCTGGGGTGCAGTGGTATGATCTTGGCTCACTGCAGCCTCCGCCTGCCAGGTTCAAGCAATTCTCTCACCCCAGCCTCCTGAGTAGCTGGGATTATAGGTGCGCACAACCACACCAGCTATTTTTTGTGTTTTTTTGGTAGAGATGGGGTTTCACCATGTTGCTCAGGCTGGTCTCAAACTCCTGATCTCAAGTGATCTGCCTGCCTCAGCCTCTCAAAGTGCTGGGATTACAGGTGTGAGCCACCACACCCAGCCCAATTCTCGTACTTTGAGTGATGAGTGTAATTCCTCATTTAAGCCTGGGAATACTGCTTGCAGTACTTACTAAAATGAATAAATCATGTAGATTGGAGGGAAAGAAAGTATTTTAAATAGGCACGTGGAAGAGTGTGCAATTCCATCGTGATCCAGAGCAGGTAGTTGGAACTGGTAGGGTTTCTTGAAAGCTCTGTGATTAAATTAAGTATCAGTGAATGCCTGAATTGCTTCTACAAATATGACATCATAGAAAAAATATGATATAACATTTTTGGAAAGGTAGAAGGTGGGTTGCAAAACTCAACTTGTACAAAGGCAGGAATACAAAACATAGTCAGCCAGGGTAGAAATCCTGGCATCTTGCAAGTCCTTTGGCATGAACATTGTCTCTGAGAACTGAGCCTCTGGGAGATCTCAGATGTGTAACTCTCATCTGTTGGAAACTCCAATTCCTACCCCAACACTGAAGGGTTAGAGGAATCAAACTGTGAGAGATGAATCTCAGAGGCCATGGAAAGCATGAATTACTTTCAGGAGCTCCATTAAGCCTCGGAGAATGGAACATACCAAATACATAATTGTTTTTCTGGTAGGGAAAGAATAATGGCATTTCCTTTCTGTACAAGGCTTCGTTCCTAGTCTAACACGTTTTTCATCTACTCATTCCAGTATTTCTATATTAGCTACTCCCTCTGTTTCCAGTGTTTGCCAGAGATGCCGATCTGCTGTGTTAGATCTCCTCCTTTATTCTGAATTTGTAACACATTTTCTTATAAACTTCTGATAGATTACAAATCTCCTAACCCAAACTGCATGATAGTAAGCATATCACTTTCTAGACATGAGGGCCATATCTGCAGTGAAAAAGAAGCTGTTTTCCTTGGCAGAGTGTTTTTTTTCAGGGTGTAGTTTGTGTCATAGACGTAAGTGGGGGAAGAATTTTCAGACAGGATGAAGTGTGCCTGATGTCCACATGGACTTCATATAAAGCATGTGATGTAATTCCGATTGGCTTTTCTTCTGGCCATCACAGAGACAGACCTTTCTTGGCCTCAGTTCTCATGTATGTTCAATTGCATCACTTTCCATTTTTATGGAATTTATGGCTGTAAAAGAAGCAAAAGGCATATTTTTATGGGAGAATATGATTTTTTTTTTTTTACCTTGTGACTATGTTCCCTTTAGAAAAGCTTTTTTCTGTTATTGTCTGCATAAATATTTATTTAAAATTTACCTTATGGCAGCAATATCTGAAAGTTATTTAGAGCCACTGCCTATTTAATATTTATAGACTTAAATAGTTTCATCATTATCAATCTATTTTTATTGACTAAGGGAGGTATATGTATGTAGAACCTGCCATGCCCTTCTTCCTGACTAAACCCCATTCTCTATATCCAGTTGATTTCCTTTTCATTTCCCTCTCAATACCCCAACCCCCACACTAGCTTTCTACTGTGGGATTTGTGGAAGTTAGCACAAATCAGTTTTTTCACTATAAATATCATCTTTGCTTAGGTGTGTCGAGTTGAAACTTTTTGAGCGTTAATTTCAGATGAATCAGTTTCATATGTGGAATCGACTATAAACTGTGCTGTCAGCTACAACTGGACATGATTTGGGGCCATACCCCCCTGAGAAGAGTGCTGATCATAACAGATTTTAATATCTTTTATCATTTTAGGTAATCCTAATTCTGATTTTCCCTGTTTTTATTTATACTATATTCTTGTTATGTATGAGAGAGAACTTCTTACTTTTGTTCCACATAAAAATGACCACACACTCATGATTCATTAAATTATAGAGAAATAATGTATTTCAGATACTGCACCTATCTGAGCAGTGCTCACTTGCTCACATATACCTGGGGCACATTGATAAACAGTCATGATTCTTTCCCAGTGAATATTTAAGCATACTTAGGATCCTTCTCAAGACTGCTTTTTGTTTAGCCACTACTAATCCTTTAGATTTGGCTAGCAGGATGAAGCTTGTTTGTTCCCTGACATAGTCTGACTTCTTGCAAATGGGATTTCCATTCATATTAACCTTTCTACTAAGTTGTGCAACCTGAACCCTTCTGAACATGGGAGTCTCACTCCTGTTCATGCTCAGCTGATATTGTCAGTAGCTTGTTATTGTTTATGTCAGTTTTCTTGCTGAAAACAACAAAAATTGTTGAATGAAGTATATTTTTAAACGTATATTTTAAAATGTACTTATGAGCTCTTGAGTAAGAAAGAACCTCAAGGGCCAAAGCTAAGCCATAGCAGGAAGCTTGTGTGATAAGTAGAGCATGGGTTATGTATTAGTCTGTTCTCATGCTTCTAATAAAGACATATATACCCAAGACTGGCTAATTTATAAAGGAAAGAGGTTTAATGAACTCACAGTTCCACATGGCTGGGGAGGCCTCACAATCATGGCAGAAGGCGAATGAAGAGCAAAGTCATGTCTTACATGGCAGCAGGCAAGAGAGCATATGCAGGGGAACTGCCCTTTATAAAACCATCAGATCTCATGAGACTTATTCACTGTCATGAGAACAGCATGGGAAAGACTGACCCTGCCCCCATGATTCAATTACCTCCCGCTGGGTACCTCCCAGGACATGTGGGAATTGTGGGAGCTACAATTCAAGATGAGATTTGGGTGGGGACACAGCCAAACCATATCAGGTTATTTATCCTTGTTGGCAATTTTCAGATAGATGAACTTGGGCTCTGGTTTTCATAGCCACAAGGACATTGAAGAAAAGAGACAGAAGTCTGGGCCTACTCAAGATGAGGGATAGTAGGAACCTTATTACCACCACCACATGAAGCTGGGATCTCAGATGGCTATACTGCTAGTGCAGAGGCAAACTAAAAATAACCTTACCATATTCTCCCTCCTCACACTTAGACTAGGGGACTCCAGGGAAAATTTTCTGTTTTAAAACTTTAAGCCAAGTAAAAGATGAAAAAATTTGTTCTCAGAATCCATAACCACAGCTGGCTCTTACATGAGTGTGCTGTGCAAGATGATCTAAAAACTTCAGGTAGAGAATGTAGCTTAAAGCAGCTACATTCTTGGTTGGTAGTGTACTCAGGTATTGGCAGAGGCAAATTCTCTAAAGGACCAAATAGGGCTTAAAGTATTTTTCCAGATAAAGTTCCAAAAAAAAACTAGTACACAGTACCAAAAAAGGAGAAAAATCACAAAATCTTCAGGAAACCAGGCCACTATAAGTGATAGTCAGTAGAAAGAATAAACAGCAGAATCAGAAAGCAAATACTTCAAAAGTTGGAATTATAAGAAAAAGACTATGAAATATTAACGTGTGTTTAATATGTTTAAATAAATAAGAGATTGAAAATATAAATAAAGAGCAAGAGACTATAAGAAACCAAGCAAACTTAAAGATAACCAAATCAAGCCTTATAGTCTGAAGGATTATCTTAGGAATGAAACAAGGCTGAAAATTAGTATGATAAGCATCCAACTTAAAAAGTTAGGAAAATAGAATAAGCCCAAAGAAAGTAGAAGGAACGAAACATTTAAAAGCAGCAGACGTGAATGAAACAGAAAATAAAAGTGTAATTGCAGAGTCAATATAGCCAAAATTGGTTCCTTGATTAGAATACTTTACTTGACATGTGTCTACTGAGATTCATCAGGAAAAAGAGTGGCTAAAGCTAAAACAAAACTTAAAAAAAGAGAGGTTAATAACGTAGAATATTAGAAATGAAAAGGAAGACATAATCATAAATACTATTGATACAAAGATAAGTGGGTTTTATAAACATTTCCTGCAAATAAGTGTGAAAATGTAGATGAAACAAAAAATTCTTTGGTGAAAAAAATGTATCAACACTGACTCAACTAATTAGAAACATGAATATTCCTATAGCCATTAAAAGTGGATTAGTAAGTAATGTTCTTTGGAAAAAGAAAATAGCAGCTCTGAATGGTTTTGCTGGTGATTTCTAATGAACATTAGTGTAAAAAAACCTCCAATTTCACAGAAACCATTTCCAAACACATTAAAAGAAGGAACACTTCCTACTTCATTTGGAGGGCTATATTAGTATTAAAACCTGATAAGGACAGCGTAGGATAGGAAAATTATAAACCAATCTCAGTCATAAACAGAAATAAAAGATCCTTACAAAATATTAGTAAGCTGAATACAGTAACATATGAAAAATATATAATGACTGAGTGGAGTTTTTCATAGTAATGCCAGGGGAGATTAAGGTTAAAAATTTCATTAATGCGATTCATTACAATAACATATGAAAGTTGAAAAATGGTGATAAACCATAAGATACAGAAAAAAAGTTTGGTGATGTTAAACATTCACTAATGATTAAAGAATACTTTTGGCATAGTTGTAATAATGCGAAGCCTAATAAAATGTCTATAAAAAACCAATACAGACACAAAATGTAATGACGAAACGTTGCCTTTCTTCCCTTTGAAGCCTGAAACAAGACAAAGGGGCCGTCATGACCAACAGGCCTCTGTCTTTCTGCATGGCCTGTCCGTGTGTCTGGTGTGGTCTTCCTCACACCATGGTGGTCACAGGGTGGTTGAGCTTCCAGACCATGGTGGCTGGCTTCCAGTGGGTAGAAGCAGAAGCTGCCAGACCCTCTGTAGGCTAGGGCTAGAACAGGTGTACTGATTATTTTGCTGCATTTGGTTGGCAGAAGGAAGTCACAGTCCAGCCCAGGTTCAAGAAGAGGGTAAACAAACTTCAGCTCTAGTTGTGAGGAGCAACATTTGTGTACAACTGGAAGGAATGAAGGAATTGGTAGAAAGTCTCTGCAGATCATCTACCTGCACAACACATATCAAATTGGCAAAAGTGTAAAAGACCTGTGACATAAGTTATTGGTAAAGAGATGGAGTGATTGGCATACTTGCAAGGTGCTTGTGATCATGTAAATTAATAGAACTGTTTTGGAAAACTTTTTTTTGTTTTTGTTTTTTTGTTCCCCCTATCACCCAGGCTGGAGTGTGGTGGTGCGATCTCGGCTTACTGCAACTTCTGCCTCCTGGGTTCAAGTGATTCTCCTGCCTCAGCCTCCCAAGTAGCTGGGAATACAGGTGCCCGCCACCATGCCCAGCTAATTTTTGTATTTTTAGTGGAGACGGGGTTTCACCATATTGGTCAGGCTGGTCTCGAACTCCTGACCTTGTGATCTGCCCGCCTTGGCCTCTCAAAGTGCTGGGATTACAGGTGTGAGCCATACATTTTTGTTTTATCTAGTGAAATTGAAGATGAATATGCTATGTGGTTCAGCAATTTAAATCTTAGGCATTCGAAAATATTACTGCTATGTGAGCTAGGTTATATGTATAAGAATATTCAGAATAGCACTGTTTATAGTAGCAAAAAGCTAAGAACAAACCCAAATTTCTATCAACAGCAGAGTGGGCAAATAAATTGTGGTGAAGTCTTACAATGGAATACTCTACTTCGGTGAAAATGAATGAACTCTATGTACAACGTTATGATTTAATCTCCAGGACATAAGATTGAGTAGGAAAAAAAGCAAAGTAGAAAAAAAAATTGTAGCCCAAATAAAGTTTTAAAACATGCGAAACCAAATAGTATATATTTATGGATGCAAAAATATATGATCAACCTAAAAGATAAGCAAAGAAATAATAAGCACAAAATTTGGGGTGGTAATTATTTCCAAATGGGGAGAGGAGATAGAAATGGGATGGGACATGGATAATTCTAGTGATCTTTTTTGGTGAATTGAATGATGGATTTTTTTTGGTCATTTTTCCTTATACTTTATGTATATTTTATGTTCTTTTGTATCTTCTCAATATTTAATGTAAGCAAAAAGAAGATCCCCAATGCTTACTTGTTTTTTAGGATTCTTTTGCCAAATCTTGCCCTTGAATGATTATTTGCACTGTGGAGTTATGCCTTGGTTTAATTACCCATGTTAGATCCCTGTTGACTCTCCTCAGGACCATGGTGGTAACAGACTTGGTGGTTTCATAGATGAGTAGGTTTGACTGGGAAGGCTTCATTCCATTGTGAAATTTGGTCCACAGTGGGATGGAGGGCAGTCTGCTGACCTTTCCATTCCTATTTCCTATACTCTCAGTGACCTTCACAGATATTCCTCCAGAACCCAAAGACTGTGTGATTCCTAAGGCCATCTTTTTAAAGCAAATTCATGGCCTGCCTTGTTGAATTATTGATCACTGGCTGCTGAAATGGAAAGAAATCAGTAGTTGTCCAGTGTAAAGGGTAGGGGCAGCAATTTCTAATTTCTTGCAATTTTGTTATTGTTTTGCAGATTGATCAGCTGAAGCAGGAACTTTCAAAGAAAGAGTCAGAACTTCTTGCCTTACAAACAAAGCTTGAAACCCTTAGCAATCAAAATTCAGATTGCAAGCAACACATTGAAGTGCTCAAAGAGTCGCTTACTGCCAAAGAACAGAGGGCTGCCATCCTTCAGACTGAGGTAAGGCACTGTCTCAGGATTCTAGACAGCAGAGACATGGAATTGATAGAAAATGCCCTACCTGACCAACTTTCCTCAGAAGACCCTTTATCCAAACCCTTGGGGCCAGATGTATTTTGAAATTCATATTTGTTGGGCTTTCAGAAAGATGAGATGCATTGTATAGATTGTGTAACACTGCAAGTGAAGTTGTAGCAACACCCCATAAGCAAACACATGAATATTTTTGCATTAAAAAAAAGTCTTACACTAAGTAGGATAAATAAAGACTGTATAATTAGACTCTTGTCAGTTTGCGTCAAAGGTGTTTGGTTCACACTTGAAATTTCTTTTTTTCATACTTCGGAGCATTTTAGATTTGGTAACTACAGTTAAGGGCTTGGATCTAGAATGATTGCATTTTATCAAAAATCATAAAATAACTGGAATGTCGTCTGTCTTGCTTTGCTGTGCACCATCTGTATGGGTTCCCCTTCTGGCACCCATGTTTCCAAAGAGTTCTTATTTACTAAGGAGTATCTTTCAATTTCTTTTACCCGTTGAAGAAAGTCGATATTTTGTGAGTTTCTCAAAGGAAATATTGGTTTGTTATCTCTTATTCATGTTTAGAAGAACAACAAAAATATATTACTATCCTATTGCCTTGCTTTTTCCTCCTTGGATTACATCTTTGGGTCTGCTAAGAAATGCAAAACACAAGCTAGTTATTGTGTGAATAAAATAGTTATCAGATGCAGCAGGCAATAGGGACAAATGTGGTGAATCTTGATTTTGTGTTGAGGCGCTGTGCTGTGTGCATTACTTTAGAAGGCATTCTAATCAACATGCATGCTCTCTCTTGGGCTCTTTTGGCTGTCTTTGCATGTATGTATTTTAGCATCTGTGGGGAGGTTTGGATTGGCCTTAGGAGTTAACGGGACTGTTGAGTAGGTCTGTGCTCTCAGTCAAGGTGCAGGACAGTGTCTAGAGGAGGAAGAAAATACTTTCTGGATTGGATAGGTCTTAGCATGAACCTGACTCAGCCCCTATACTTTTGATCATTGACTGATAGGCAGCTACCTGATTACTTCAAAACAATCACCTTGGTCTCAGTGATGTAGATATTTCACATTTAAGAAATACCATTTTCAGTTGTGTGTAGTTCCACTGTGAATGCAAAGGTATGGGTATTTTATTTTTTAAGGCAAACATATAATCTATGCTATAAATTGGAAGTTGGCTTCTATCTCCTTTGTGGAGGCAGCAGTGAATAGTATCTAGAGTTGTGTTAAGATGGTAGCCACATGTGGCTATTTAAACTAAAATTAATTAAAATCTAGTGAAATTTAAAATGTAGTTCTGTAGTCACATTAGCCACATATCAAGTAAAACAGTTACGTGTGGCTAGTGGCTACTGTATTAGACAGCACAGCTAGAGAACATTTCTACCATCTAGTACTTGTCTCAAATGGGGGTCAACCAAAACTATGGCTTGTGGGCCAGATCTGGCCCTGTGCCTGCTTTTGTAAGTAAAGTATTATTGGAACACAGCCATACCCATTCATTTACATGTTGTCTTTGGCTGTTTTTGTGCTACAACAGCAGAGTTGAGTAGTTGCAATAGATATTGTATGGCCCACAAAGCTGAAAATATTTACTGTCTGGCTTTTTACAGAAAGTTTGCCAATTTCTGGCATTGTGATTTTGTGGGAAGAGGATTGAGTGGGCATTGGAATGCCCAACTAGTCTTCTGTCTGGCTGTGGTACCCTAAATGGAGAAAGATAGTTTGCTGACAGCTGTTCTAGAGCACTATTTTTCTTCACTGTATTATTCAAAAAGCAACTGCTTGTACCCATGTTTTGTCAATAATACCAGCATTACTGATAAAATTAGTGTAATTGTGTTGCTGTGTGTTGTTGGGTAGGAGAAAATTTGAGAAGCAAGGCAGTCTGCTTGCCCAAACCAGCAGTCAGGTTTCTTGATGGTTCCTCTCCAGAGTAAACGAATGAGGAGCCAGGTCAGAAAGGCTTTTCCTCTACTATCTTATACTGATGGAGGCTTTATTCCTTGGCCTCTTTCCTTTCTCATTCCCCTCCTTGTATTTTAACTTCTCTCAAATTAATGTATTCCAAATTAGACCTATATATATTTCATGAAAAAGACAGTGGTGACATTATGTGGATAGCTTCTGTCCCACATTCAATAATTAAAATGACCAAATAAAGAGATGGTGCTTTGAAGTAGAAAAAAATTATTCTCCATGTGCAGAGAAAGTGAGATGATTTTCTAAGTCTTCTGCTTTGAAGTTGGGAGTATGAGATTACTGATTTTATCAGCTGGTAATGGCTGAGGAATTTTCTTTTGCCTTTTTTTTTCTTATAAGATCTCTTTGTATATGGAAACAGAGGAGAAACTTACCTAATACGTCTGTCTCTTAGGGGGAGCAATTTAGGTTGAAATTGCTCTCATTGTTGGATTATGAGCAGAAGATTTTTTGGCAGCAGGGTAGAATACTTTAAAGTGATTTCCCCACTCTTTGGGATAGCAGAGGTAAATAAGAGTCTTTCTGCCTACTGTGTGGTGCGTTAGTGGGTGAGTACTCAGAAGATGAGATATGTTGTATTTCCTTATGCCCTACAATGAAATATCTGAGTTTAAATTCCTGTGAAATAATCTGCACACCAAACCTGTGAAACACAATTTACCTATATAACAAACCTGCACATGTACCCGTGAACCGAAAATAAAAGGTTAAAAAAAAAAAAAAAGATATGATGCTCATCCTCAAAGGAGGTTACATGTGATAGCTCCCTGCAATTTGATTCCTGAGTCATTGCTGAAAGCTCTCACCAAAACAGAAGGGGGCTGGCTCTCTTTAGAGTGGGAAGACTCCTGCTATATCTGTGCCATCAACTGGCTTTGGCTGCTCTTTTAGCATAGTATAAATGACAGATATCATGGCTTAACGGTTCATCTCTGTAAGGAAGGTTTTGCTACCAGGGAATTTGCATTTGGGAGTTGGTAGGATGAAGGGTGGGGTGAGGGGAAGGAGGCAAGTTGTCTTGGTTTGCGGCTATGTGGCTTGGCTCTTTGGTTGGTTTGTTTGAACTTGTACAAATGCCCAGACACTCTGACATGTGTGCAATAAATCAATAGAATAATAATTACATACACAGAGAGATACACCACATAGCTCTTAACATAACATTTTACTTTTTAAAATAGCTTCAAAGAACTCTAAGGCCAAGTTTCTTATTTTGCTACTGCCCTTGATGTTTCCTTCATACCAACTAACCCCATCCACCAACACATGAATTCCACGGCAGTAGAGAAAATAATGAATTGGAGTTTTCTAGCACCTTGATTTTTCTGGATTTCAGTGAATAATTAATAACATATCCATAAACTGGGAAGAATTAAGGCCTAACATTTATTCTGTGATCTAAGGTAAAATGTCGAACAAAACACAGCATTTAGAAGTGGGAGTTGTGTGGCTATACCTCAGTCTCCCTATTCAATAACTGTGTGGCGTGGACAAGACTTGAACTTCTCTGAGCCTTCATGTCACAGTCTATGAAATGGCAGTCATTGTATCAGCCTGATACATATATGTGAAAAGTGCTTTGATTATAGTCAAGGGTTACAGCTATAAATTATAGTATCACCATTGCTGTTTTATTATCATTACTAATATTATGTTTGTCAGAGATGTTTGGGCAGGTCACACCTGAATACTCTTGTCATCAGCTTTGTAGGTCTCTTTTGAATTTTTGGTATGTGCATTTATAGACCTCGGACTTTTATATTTCAATTGAGTCACTTTGTTATGTCTTAGAATGATATGGAGAAATAAAGATACTATGAAAGTGACCATCTCTTTTGTTCTATCTCCAAATTAAGATTTTTATTTCTGGCTGGGTGTGGTGGGTCACACCTGTAATCCCAGCACTTTGAGAGGCTGAGGCAGGGAGATCACTTAGGGTCAGGAGTTTGAGACCAGCGTGACCAACATAGTGAAACCCCATCTGTACTAATAATACAAAAATTAGCCGGATGTGGTGGTACATGCCTGTAGTCCCAGCTACTTGGGAGGCTGAGGCACAAGAATCACTTGAACCTGGGAGGTGGAGGTTGCAATGGGCATGAGCTGAGATCATGCCACTGTACTCCAACCTGGCTGACAGAGCAAGACTCCATCTTAAAAAAAAAAAAAAGAAAGAACGAGAGAGATATATATATTTATTCCTGATTTCTGGCAAGTATACTTTTCTCCAACTCAGTGTGATTTGTAAACTGCCAGGCAACATTTTTGCATGTGCTTCCCAAGATAGGTTATATGACAGTGGTACGTAATACTAATTTCTGTCCCAAATAAGCCAGAGAAGGATTCTATAGTACTTGTCTAAGAGTAAACACTTGAGAAGCCATTAATTAACAAAGAATGCAGGGGTTTTGTGTTTATGCAGACAAGAGCAACGGAGTGGCAGCTATGAAGCAAGGGTTTGTAACTTCTAAAAAATACAATCAACACAGAAGAGAATCTCATGCAATTGAACCCCCCCACCAAAAAAGAAAAACATCCACATGGGCACATACATACTAATACTCACATGTAGTAGTGTATATAATTTCAGGTGGTTTATAGATGCTCTAGAGCATTTCCAAGAACTTCACATCAATAACCTTTGCGCTCTGGGCTTCATGCATTTTTTCATTTAACACATACTTTTTGAATGCTTACTATGTGCCAGATATGGTTTCTGCTGTCACTGAGCAAACATTCTTTTAGGCATGTGGATATATGTTAGAGAACTGATTTATGGTACCATAAACTCCCAGTGATTTCATTATCATTGGTTACTAATAATTCCACAGAGAATCTTGATCTTTCTTTTGTTGTTTAAAAGCAGATAAGGAAGGAAAGAAGACACAAAGAAATAGATGTTTCGCTCCTTTGAAGACTAAAATATGCAACTGTTCAAAGTGCCTGTTTGTATCTCTTATAATTGAAGGCTAATAT